ATTATTCTATAATTTTGATATAAATAATTTCAATTCGATATTTCCCAGCCAAAACCTGTCGAATGACTTTAAATGATTCATATTTGTATTCAGTGTGAATTAAATAATAAATTATACGCTCCAAAACATTTATTTATATGTAACTCACGAAGTAAAATTTTCAAATCGATTTTCGAGAGGGATTTTGACACCCTCCACTCTTTCTCTCAAGCTCCGATTTTTTTTTACTAAACTTTGAGTCTCTCAGTCCCGCTAAAAAAATATTCAATTATATCCAACAGCCTCAGACTTTGATTTGTTTTAAACCCCATCCAACTGGTTTTCTTTAATTTTGAATATGCCATAATTGAAATGGGTTTAGCGGGTGCAGTAACACCTACTTTGCGGGTTTTTTTAAGCTGGCTAGGAATCCCCCTTTTCAATCATGTGTTTTGAATTTGAATCTTCGTCTCCCTTTACCTTTGCCATATCGGCTAAACATATCTAAACACACCGGTGTGCTCTAATTAATTAAACGTGAGTGGGTGCAAAGCGCCTCAACAGCTTTGGGGGAGGGGGATGCAGTCAATCGATTTAATTAATGACTGGTTTAATTGTTGCTGTCAAAATGTCTAACAGCTACTGTAGTTGTATGCAAAAAAAACAAATGTACGATCAGGTTTCTCAATGGATTTATGGGAGCAAAAAAATATAAATTTTACCAAGGTAAGAAATGAAAAATTGTTAATAAAAAATATTCTTAAAAATTCCAAAAATTAAAAATAACAAGTGAAAAAGCGTTAAGTTCGGCCGAACTTTGGATACCCTCCACCATAGATATACTGACAGGTATTTGAAATGAAAAAGTGGACCGATATTTAAAAATTTTAATAGAGATATTTGGTACCCAGTAAGAATCCAATGTACCAAATTTCAGCGAATTCGGTTGAAAATCGCGCTCAAGAACCCAAAAATACCGAAAATTGGGGGTGCCCTTATATGGGGGTTAAACGAAAAATGTGCCGATATTTATCATTTTTAGCAGAGATATTTGGTACCCAATAAGAACCCAATGTACCAAATTTCAGCGAATTCGGTTGAAAATCGCGCTCAAGAACCTCAAAATACCGAAAATTTGGTGTGCCCTTATATGGGGGTTACACGAAAAAGTGTGCCGATATTTAAAATTTTTAGCAGAGATATTTGGTACCCAATAAGAACCCAATGTACCAAATTTCAGCGAATTCGATTTAAAATCGCGCTCAAGAACCCCAAAATACCCAAAATTTGGGGGGTACCCTTATATGGGGGATATCCGAAAAAATTTACCTATATTCATAATTTTTTGTGGAGAGATTTATTACCTATTAAGAACTTAAAATACTAAATTACAGCTAACTCGAAGGAAAAATACGATAAAAACCCCCAAAATACTGAAAATTAGGAGGTACCGTTATATGGGGCGTACCAGAAAAAGTGGACCTATATTTATAATTTTTTGTGGATACATTTAGTACCCAATAAGAACCCAATGTACCAAATTGCAGCGTATTCGGTGGAAAAACGCGCTCAAAAACGCACCCAAAATACCGAAAATTGGGGGGTACTGTTATATGGTAGCTATACCCAAACGTGGACCGATATATCCCATCTTCAAACTTGACCTGCCTGCAGACAAAAGACAAACCTATGCAAAATTTCAGCACCCTATTTCAATTCCTTCAAAAGATAGCGTGATTACAACAGATGGACGGACAGACGGATGGACATGGCTATATCGTCTTAGAATTTTACCCTGATCAAGAATATATATACTTTATAGGGTCGGAAATGAATATTTCGATGAGTTACAAACGGAATGACAAAATTAATATACCCTCCATACTATGGTGGAGGGTATAAAAAAATCCTTCTCTTTATACTCATATATGGGTCTCGAAAAAAATATTCCTTAAAAGTCCACGTAAAACAACACCTCTCGTAATAGATCAATCAGTTATCTAAATAAATACAAATCTATATCACTTAATATGCAAAAAATTTTCTCTACCCAATCGAAACCCAATACCCTCCCATCCTCGTCGGCATATTTTTCTCAGTCTCTGTATCTCAATTATTTATTTATTTTGCTTGACAATTTGTTTCTTTGTCTAACTAACTATCAGTTACTGGAAAGAAACCCGTAAATAACTAAATTATATGGACTCAGATCTATTACCGCCTAAATGACTAGCATCGTATCGTATTTATTACACTGCTATCGTTTCGTAGATTGTTGATTCGCATTCTCCACCTTAACCTACCCCTCGCCCCACCCACTCAAACACCTTCTTCTTGTTCCCTCAAATTAGTTATTGTGTCTAATTTACAATGACATGTTAATTTAATTTATTAATGAAAATTTTGCCAAAGATGTTGATGTATTGGTGTACAGATAGATATGGGATCAGGGTGTGCTATGCATTCGTCTTTTTCTCTTTTCTTCCATACTGTTTTTATTTTTATTAATTATTCATTTGTATTATAATATTTTGATATAATATTTATTATAACAAATATTGGACATTTTTATTATGCCATTGTCAGTGTTTTAATTTGTATAGTTGTGTGTGTGTGGGAACTAAAGATCTGGAAAGATGTCGTACTGAACGATTTTCTAGAAATGCAAACAAAATAAAATTTGATAATCAAATCTTTTCGCAGAGATTTGATAGGAAATCTCTTAATTATGAATGTCGTCAAAACAGTTTGTTTTTTTAATGACAGCCAGTAAGGAAAGCAATAAAGTCGGACAGGGCCGACTATATGATACCCTTCACCACTATGGGTATATTAAACAGCACTATTAACATGAAATTGGATGAAATAAATTTCGGAATAGATCTATCACGAAACTTGGCGGACATCATTCTGGTATAAATTCAGTACGCAATGCCAAATTTCGTGCAAATCAAAAGTTATATAGGGACTTTGGTTCCCCATTTACCTTAAATCGGACGAAACTATATATGTGACCTATATCTAAATCTGACCCGAATTTCTCGAAACTCGGCACACATCATTCTGGACCATATTCAGTACTCTATGCCAAATTTCGTGCAAATCGAAAGATATATAGGGACTTTGGTTCCCCATTTACCTTAAATCGGACGAAAATATATATGGGAGCTATATCTAAATCTGGCCCGATTTTCTCGAAACTTGACACACATCATTCTGGACCTAAGTCAGTACCCTTTGCCAAATTTCGTGCAAATCGAAAGATATATGTGGACTTTGGTGCATCATTTACATTAAATCGGACGAAAATATATATGGGAGCTATATTTAAATCTCAACCGATTTTCACGAAACTTGGCACACATCATTCTGGACCTTATTCAGTACGTTATGTCAAATTTCGTGCAAATCGAAAGATATATAGGGACGTTGGTGCACCATTTACATGAAATCGGACGAAACTATATATGGAAGCTATATCTAAATCTAGAAAGATTTTCACGAAACTTGGCGGACATCATTCTAGGCTCAATTAAGTACGTTATACCAAATTTCGTGCAAATCGAAAGATATATAGATACTTTGGTGCACCATTTACATGAAATCGGACGAAAATATATATTGGAGCTATATCTAAATCTGAACGGATTTTCACGAAACTTGGCAGACATCATTCTAGGCTCAATTCAGTACGTTTTGCCAAATTTCGTGCAAATCGAAAGATATATAGGGACTTTGGTTCCCCATTTACCTTAAATCGGACGAAAATAAAAATTGGAGCTATATCTAAATCTGAACGGATTTTCACGAAACTTGGCGGACATCCTTCTAGGCTCAATTAAGTACGTTTTGCCAAATTTCGTGCAAATTTAAAGATATATAGGGACTTTGGTGCACCATTTACATGAAATCGGACGAAAATATATATGGGAGCTATATCTAAATGTGGACCGATTTTCACGAAACTTGGCGGACATCCTTCTAGGCTCAATTAAGTACGTTTTGCCAAATTTCGTGCAAATCGAAAGATATATAGGGACATTGGTTCCCCATTTACCTTAAATCGGACGAAAATATATATGGGAGCTATATCTAAATCTGGACTTGGCAGACATCATTCTGGACCTTATTCAGTACGTTATGCCAAATTACGTCCAAATCGTTGGACCATTTACATTAAATCGGACGAAAATATATATGGGAGCTATATTTAAATCTGACCGATTTTCTTAAATTTCTATAGGGTTCGTCCTTAGGCCAAAGAAGTGACTTGTGCCAAATTTCATCCAAATCGAATCATAAGTCCGACCTTTACGTTGTTTACAATTTAACATCTGCAGACGGACGGACATGCATAAATCGACTCAGAAAGTGATTCCATGCATATTCTCAAAAGGAACAATGTGTCTATGTGTGGTGAAGGGTATAAAAATCTATGCCTATTGTGGACCCTTGAATACATTTTTAAAAAATTCAAATATTTTTAAAAAATCCACTATTATAAAAAAATAAATAAATAAATGCACGCTTATTTTTTTGTTCGACCTAATTTACATTCACCTACAGAACCACATTTTCGTAATCAAGCCAATAACCCAATGCACAAACACACTTTCAAATTTTTTTTTAAATATATATTTGACGTACTTTTTCGTTGCGGCGAAATATATAAATCAATGATATAAACAAAAACAAATGATTTATGTAATTTCAAATAAAATAAATAAATGTTTTGCATTGCGTTCCCCTATTTTTTTTTTTTTTTTTTAATTTCTTCTATCAACTTGGCCCCACCATTCATCCATCCATTAATTTAAATCTTCTGATAATTAGCGAGTCTATGTAAAATGAATTCTTAGACATATTTAAAATACCCCCTTCCCAAACCCCATTGAAGAAAAAACGGAAAAATACCGACAAACAATAACAAAGGGACGATACACAGATCCACATTTAAATATAAAACGAATTCTGATTTTATTTTAATAAATTATTTATTTGCAAAAGATTTCAAATTGTAAATACAATCAAAAACGCCATGCCTCTAAATCAACAACCGGTATCTGGCCACTATCGCAACGGACCGGTAGATTGCTGAAAAGAAAAACGGGGAGAAATAATGTTATGTTTCTCTCTCTCTCTCGCTCTCTCTTCTCAGTGCACTACAACTTACCCCGGCACATCGGGTCTCATAAAGGCGGCCGGTGATACCTCACGCAATGTTAAATGATCGGCATTATCACATATTAAACGAGCCATTGTCACCTTACGCAGCTCATGTAGCTGATCGATGGTAAATGCTCCCGGATTAATCGAATTATTATATTCGTAATAGTAACGATCACCAACTTTGAAACGGGAAAATTGATCGGCAATTATTTCGGCAAATGTTATGCCAACAATACCACCCTCAACAGATTTCTCCAGCAGGCCTCCAACCCAAAGATCAATATCGTCGGGATGGCGATAGACTTGAGATAATTTTCGACCAACCTTGAAAAAAGGAAATAAAAAATAGGGATTTACAAAATGAATTTTTAAAAAATATTTTTTCAAGCTACCACAGTAGGCGTGGATTAAAAAAATATTTTTTCTGGCAACACCAATTTTTTATATTACCTCCGATGGCAGCTGATTAAAACTCTGTATTCTACGATGACCCATTACCTCCATGTAGTCATTGTAGCAACGCAATCCCTGATCCCGACCACGTTGTATATTAAAGGCAGCCAGGTCTAAGCCAAAGGGGTTATGGCCACGAAACAAAAATCTGCTCAACTATAAATAGAAAATTTCAAATGAATTTTAAACACAAAACCTTATTACATAGTTCATTGTTGGCCCCCTTACACCCTTACCCCTTGAGTAATGGCACTATCAACCCGCTGCATTGGCTGATGCAACATTGTGCCCAACATATCATCCAAAAATGTACGCAATCTCATGCGTGACGGATTGAACATAACATCCGGTATATGTATAATTTCATCGGCATGCCCCCTCTGCTGATGCTGCGGATGAATATGAAATTTGCCATCAACACTTGAATGGCCCATACGAAAAGCAGCCCCCGAAAATGCATTTGTTATGGCGGGATTTATATCGGCATTGTAGTCACTGCTATAGCCATGGTGTTGTGGCACCAAACGAAAACGTTTCATTTGCATTGGTCCAATGACTGAGGGTAAATACTCATTATAGATGATGTGTTGCATTTCGGCAATGACAATACGCCGAGCCTCTTGGTAAAGTAGCTCATCTGAGGCACGTGGATTAATTTGACTGAGTATGTCGGCGACACGATTATGTTCGCGTGCGAAAAGGATGTGGAGCACAACGAGTGATATTATTTGGTTGGTGCGACCGTCACCTGTTAAGGAGGAGGATTTAAATATTATTTTGCTTTTTTAAATCCCAAATTTTAAAACTTACCCGATTTAAAACAAGTCATTGTGGGGTCATCATTACCACAGGCACTCCTGTCATTGGTAAGCGGCAGCATATCCCTACCGAAGTCATTAAACATACGCAGCTTTCCACCTTTAAATAAACGCAATTCCCGAGCCGTTTCCAAACTCGAACCATAAACCGCTGAGGCATCAAGGAAATGTGTAACCTTACTGCGCTGCTTTCCAAATGTTGCCCGACAATCCATATTCGGAGCCAATGATAGGCGAACAAAATTCATACAACGTATACCAAAGTGGGCATAGAACTCATCATGTGGTTCCACGCTAATGGGCATACAGGCAAAATGCCGCTGTTCAGGTGGCAGGACGGCACGATTGTTGGGGGCACAACATTGTATCGATTCACCACGTTCTATAAATAAAAATCATTAATTATTTCTTCTGAAATATTTTTTTTTTCAAGACTGCCTTACCTAATCTCACAGAACTCGATTGGGTCACATCGTGGGCAATAAATTGCCCAAATTGCATCAACAACAGATTATACTTTGGATGTGGTCGATCCGAGTCACCCAATAGGATACGTGAAATTTCCCTTGCCCCCGTCAACAATGAACCATCCTTGGCATGTATACGTGGTGTCCATATGCCATCCTCATAGGCTGGTGGCAGCAAACGTTCCATTGGCTGTCCAGCAGCACCCCAATGTGAACGATGCGGTAGGATGTTATTACAACTGCCATCAAAGGTACGATATTTTGAGCGGGGATTTAAACATGGCTGTGGTGGATGGCAATGATGTTCTAAGGGTGTCTCCTTAAATTCCAAATCAATGTTATTCGTAATGATATCCTCCACGGGAATGTGTTCTCTGTAAAATGAACATAAAATAATTTAATTTTTATTTTTCATAATTTTTGTTCAAAAAATAGTCTATCTTGACTTACTTTTGGGTAAAAACCTGCGTGGTAATAACCTGTTCCATTGCCGATTTACTTAGCTGAAAATTTTGCATATCCTCATGGGCATTCGAATGGAATACCATATTGTGTACAAATTCCGGTTGACCTGGAGTGATGGGAATCAAGGCTATTCGATGCATAAGATTTTGAAATTTTAAACGTGCTTCATCGATTACGCCGGCTGGTATAAATGTTATTGCCGGTATTCGAGCCTTATCCTTGCGGATAGCTAAGAAATGAAAGTGGAATCAGTTAGAATTAGAAGACCCATACATAATCAGTATAAAGTTTTTAATTCGACTCTGGATGGAACATTAGGACTTATGCAGTGTGAATATAATGGATTTCAGAGCAGAATATAATAAAATCTTAATAAGAAAAAAGTAAAAACGACGTTAAGTTCTTTAAAAAATCCATGCTTACCGACCCCTGGGTCCTTTATAAATGTTCTTCCAAAGATACACGCTTATAACACTCTGGGTCCTTTTTAAATATTCTTTAAAAAATCTAAGCTTTTAACCCTCTGGGTTCTTTATAAATAGTCTTTAAAAGATCCACGAGTTTAACCCTCTGGGTCCTTTATAAATATTATTTAAAAGATCCACGCTTTTAACCCTCTGGGTCCTTTATAAATATTATTTAAAGAATCCACGGTATAGCCACGCTTATATTCCTCTGAATCTTTTAAACAATCCACGCTTATATTCCTCTGAATCCTTTAAAAAAACACGCTTATCCTGAATCCTTTATTAATATTCTTTAAAAATCCACGCTTATAGCCCTCTATGTCTGTTATAAATATTATTTAACAAAAGCATGCTTATGGCCCTCTGGCTTAATAAATACTCCTTGAAAAATCCCCACTTAAGCCCTCTGAGTCCTTTATAAATATCCATTAAAAATCCATGCTTATAGTCCACTGAATACTCGATTAATATTCTGTAAAAAATCCACGCTTGTAGCCCTCTGAGTCCTTTATAAATATTCTTCAAAAAATCCACGAATGTAAGCAAAGGAATACTTTATAAAAAATTCTCAACAGCGTAACCTCTACCATGAGTAACCTCATTTTCACATTCCTAGCATCCGAAATGCCAAATCACAGCCATATCGTTTGGAAAATGCCCACAGGACTATTAAATACCTTAAACGGGTCGATACATTTTATGGAAGCTATATTACAAGATGGACCTTTATTAAACATTTTCTGAAACGAAACATAGTTTATTCATCAGAATAACGAAATGTCAAATTAGAGCCAATTCGATGGCGAAAATTTACCCAAGACCTGCAACATACCAAAAAAGATTCGGAACCTTTATATTGAGGCCACGGATTTATATTGAAAATATACTGCAACCACTTCGATGAAAAATGGGGGCTAAAATCTTTAAAATGCTGAAAATAAGACAGGTCTTTACAAGGAGGTTAAATTAAAGCATGAACCTATGCTGAAAAATGTTCTGGAACGAAGTTTCTTATTCACCAGAAGTCCGGAATGGCATATTAAATTAACTTCGATTGGAAAATGCGGTTTAAATCTGCAAAATATCGAAAACGCGACAGGACCTTTATATGGGGCAAAATCTGTATATGTCCACCTACATGCCAAATTACAGTCACTTCGATGGGAAATTAATTTAAAATCTTCAAAATACCGAAAATGGGTCGAAGCTTTTATGCGATGGCTATACCAATACGTGGTTCTCTGACCATTTGCCCGTTACAACATCATCCTCCTCCATGTCATAGCAAAGCCTTATCTTAAACATTCCTTTCCCATAAGTCTTTACTTACCCGTAAGATTTTGTCCGGTCACACAACAAAATCCGAATTTACCTCCCGGTAAATCACAAATTTGTGGTTTCTCATGATCCAACATTCGTACATGTGCGGGACATTGTATTTGAGGTACACACATCACACCTTCTGGACATGGATCACATTTTGTCATGATAGTTGGCTGTGTCTTGCGATTAGCTGAAAAAAATAGAAAGGGAGGATGTATTGGTTTATCCTATTACATTAAACTACTACAGAACGGAAGCATGTCGACCTCTGCCTGGTTATCATTTCCAATAGGTTAATATTTTTTCCAAAAAGAAACCAGTAACGAATGGTCCAAAGTCAGACGAATCCTACTGCAAGCTTATTGTTGCATTCTTACATGAAATCCGATTGATGTATATGAGAACTATATCTAAGTCTAAAAATAATCGCCATTCTAGTGCCTATTACGGACAGATTCCCGACCAATTTCAGTAGTATTCGTATTTTGGGGCAATCAAGTGAGTTTTACCAGATTTAATCGCAATTGGATACTGAATGCAATCTGTAGTTTGTTAACAAACATATATGCACAAAAGACAGACGGACGGACATGGGAAACGCGACTACAAATGTTTGTTATATTTCCTTTCGAATTTTACATTCATAGACATAATATTCTGCATCCAGCGGAGTTTAGGGTATAATTAATATAGTGTCCGTCCGCGTCAGGTGTACAACCATCACAGATGACCCCATTATCATCCTGATCTTCCTCTTTTTTCAATTACTTTTCTGTTTTCTTTTCGGATTTCCCCATTTTATTATATTGGCTTTTCAATTTTATCTTACCATTTGTATCCTCTTCATATTCCACCATTTGAGGTCGATTCAAAATGGATGATTCCTTTCTAACCTTATCATTATTTTGCCACATCGAATGTGTATCATCAAATGGCAGGCCATCCCTCTGGCCTGTTAGCACCGAAAATCCATGGCATTTTAATGCCATAAACCACAACAATAACAACAATTTGAACATAGTAAAGTTATTAACAAATTATTTACAACATTAATATTAAATAAAAAATAAATAAATAAACTATTAAAAACAGGTATTGAAATGATCCTCCGAGAAGCTAATCATATCAACTGAGTAAACAAATGACAAATTTTCGATTTAGTGCTTGAGATGAAATTACAACGGTATCTTCGAAATGAATAGAGGATTGTAAAGAAGCATATATACATATAGATATATTTTCACTCATTACAGTGTGGACCAAAAGTATTTGCACAATTGTTATTCTTTAAAAAAAGCTGCACTTATAGTTCTGCTAGTCCTAAAAATTGTCTTTAGTTCATTAAAAATATTATTCCCTCTAAACTTTACGATTATAGTCTCTCAAAAGCCTAGCCATTTTATGTCCATGTTATTGGGATTTTATAATTATTCTTTAAAAATCTACGTTTCTAGTCCTCGGTGTCCTTCATAAATATTCTTTAAAAAATCCACACTTACAGTCCTCTGAGCCATATATAACAATTCTTTAAAAAAATCCACGCTTATAGTACTCGAAGTCCTTTATAAATATTCTTTAAAAATCCACGCTTATTTACTTCTGAGTCCTTTATATATTTTTCTTTATAAAATTCACGTTCATAGTCCTCTGAGTCCTTTATAAATATTATTTAAAAACCCCAAGCCTATAGCCCTCTAAGTCCTTAGAAATAATCTTTAAAAGATCCACGAATATAGCCCTCTGAGTCCTTTAAAATTTCTTTAAAAAATCTAAGCTTATAGTCTTCCAAGTCCTTTATAAATATTATTTAAAAACTTCACGCTTATAGCCCTCTGTGTCCTTTATAAATATTCATTAAAAAAATCAGCGTTTATAGCTCTCTGATCCCTTTATAATTATACTTAAAAAATCAAGGTTTCATATCCTCTGAGTCCTTTATAATAATACTTTAAAAATATTCTTTGAAAAATCCACGTTTTTACTTAAAAAATCAAAGCTTATTGTGCTATGAGTCTTTTTATATATACTTAAAAAATCCACGCCTATAGCCCTCTAAGTCATTTTATACATACATTAAAAAATCCACGCCTATAGCCCTCTGAGTCTTTTTATATATTCTTTAAAAAATCCACGCCTATAGCCATCTGAGTCTTTTTATATATTCTTTAAAAAATCCACGCCTATAGCCCTCTGAGCCTCTAAGTCATTTTATACATACATTAAAAAATCACGCCTATAGCCCTCTGAGTCTTTTTATATATTTTTTAAAAATCCACGCCTATAGCCCTCTGAGTCCTTTATAATTTTACTTTAAAAATCCACGCCTATAGCCCTCTGAGTCCTTTATAATTTTACTTTAAAAATCCACGCTTATAGTCATCTGAACCCTTTATAATTTTACTTAAAAAAATCAGCGCTTATTGTCCTCTAAGTCTTTTTAAATATTTTTTTTTTAATCCTTTATTAAAAAAATTAAACAATTCACAATTGTAGGCACCTGATTCCTTTAAAAAATATTCTTCAAAGACGTACGCTTACAGGCCCTTAATTCCTTTACAAATACTCTTAGAAGATCAATGCTTATTGTGCTGTTAGTCCCTTAAAAATATTCTTTAGAAAATGCGTATTGCCATTTTAGTCCTTTAAAAAATGAACGCTTATAGCCCTCTGAATCCCTTAAAAATCCACGCTTATTGCTCTGAAGTTCCAATAATAACATTCATTTAAAATCAACGTTAATTATTTAAACTGTTATTAAAAAATGCAGACACATACCACCGCTAATCCTTTAAACAGCTAACCATTATTCTTTATAAAATTTACGCTTACTTTGAATATATGTCAAATAATTCCTCATAAAGTAGGTTAACCCGGTAAAAAGTTTTTCATGTAAATACCGTATTAGTCCTTAAGTTAGTTCTTTAAAAACTATACATTAAAAGTCAATTTCTGTAAAGTGTATGAAGATTATTTTTTTATTATATTTTCATAATAATATAAAAAACAATATTTTTCTAAAGAAAAAGTTTTCCATTTTTTTCTTAATACAATTTTACAATGGTACTACAAACTAAAGATAAAGGAATCTGATCTCCATATGTATTTTTTTAAAAATCCCAGCCAGCATATTCTTTAACAACACTCTTATTCTCTTTACGATGACGATGTACAGCACTGGCTTCACCCTTGGCCACACAACGTTTACGCTGTTCGATAATTTCCTTTTTATCCATATTACGCTTAATACGATCCGTAATAACGGACGGAGCAATGGTACTGGCAGTTGTAGAATATGAACGTTGTGAGCGAGCATCATTCAAGAGTTTTTCAACCATTTTTAAACGATACATGCGTGAATTAGGATCTACATTGGCCAATTCAGGTACATTATCGGTTTCTAAGTCATTGGAACTCATTGAATGGGCATCAGAGTCATTATCAGCCTTATTGGAATCATTATCATCATTGGCAGTTTCGTCAGAAGATTTTTTGTTTTCTGTTTCTTGTTGTTGTTTGGTATCTTTATTTTTATTTGTATTCTCTTCTTTAGTTGCTTTCTGTTGTTCCACAATTAATTTGGGAGTTGGTATATCTTCTGGTATATCAACTTCTGGTCCAATTTTAATATTACCCAAATACTGGGTACATGATTCAATATATTTCCTTATCGAATCATCGGCTTGCTTGGAGGATTTCACTTCACTAAAACTAATTTCATTTTGTAACTGTTTACGATATTCATCCAATTCATCATTTGTATAGTTATTTGCACCATCAACTAGCTTGGGTACGGTATCCTCGTCATCTTCATATTCTTCTTCATCGGATTCTTCAATCATGCCATATTCCTGAGAGGGGAAAATACATTTTATATGTTAGAAAAAAACAACTTTGGTAGAGGATTTTTTTTTTCAAAATACCTGCAACAAATCCTTTTCCATTTCTTTGGTGAAACCATAACCTGTACAATGGACTTCAGTATCTAAATCATCTTCTCTCTTTAGATCTGAAAATTTCGGATAGTCTTCACTTTCATAATTGTATTTGCGGCGGAAGAGTTCGCGTACACAGTTAACGTCACGATCGAAGAAGCTGGAAATTAAGGGAATAAAATCGTAATTAATTAATTTATGTTTCATAATGTTGTGTTAAATAAATCTTTGTTTATAGTCCTTATAGTCCATTAAAAACCCAGCCCTGTCAGTCCTTTATAAATATTCTTTAAAACGTCCACGCCTATAGCCCTGTCACTCCTTTATAAATATTCTTTAAAACGTCCACGCCTATAGCCCTGTCACTTCTTTATAAATATTCTTTAAAACGTCCACGCCTATAGCCCTGTCACTCCTTTATAAATATTTATTACAAAGTCCACGCCTATAGCTCTGATAGTCCTTTCAAAATATTCTTTAAAAATTCCACGCCTATAGCCCTGTTACTCCTTTATAAATATTTATTACAAAGTCCACGCCCATAGCTCTGATAGTCCTTCCAAAATATTCTTTAAAAATTCCACGCCTATAGCCCTGTTACTCCTTTATAAATATTTATTACAAAGTCCACACCTATAGCTCTGATAGTCCTTTCAAAATATTCTTTAAAAAAAGTCCACGCCTATAGCCCTGACATTCCTTTATAAATATTCATTACAAAGTCCACGCCTATAGCTCTGATAGTCCTTTAAAAAAATATCCTTTAAAAAATTCCACGCCTATAGCCCTGACATTCCTTTATTAATATTCATTACAAAGTCCACGCCTATAGCTCTGATAGTCCTTAAAAAATTTTGTTTAAAAAGTCCACGCCTAGAGCCCTGATATTGCTTAACAAAATTTCTTTAAAAAGTCCACGCCTAGAGTCCTGATATTGCCTTACAAAATTTGTTTAAAAAGTCCACACCTAGAGCCCTGATATTCCTTTACAAATATTCTTTAAAAATTCCACGCCCAATATCAGTCCACGCCTAGAGCCCTGATATTCCTTAACAAATATTCTTTAAAAATTCCACGCCCAATATCAGTGCACGCCTAGAGCCCTGATATTCCTTTACAAATATTCTTAAAAAAGTCCACGACTATAGCCCTGATAGTTCCTTATAAATATTCTTTAAAGAATTCACGCCTATTGTCATGATAGTCCTTTACAAATATTCATTAAAAACTCCACGCTTATAGTCCCAATAGCCTCTTACAAATATTCATTAAAAACTCCACGCTTATAACCCCAGTAGTCTCTTACAAATATCCTTTATAAGTCCTCGCCTATAGCCCTGATAGTTTATTACAAATATTCTTTAAAAAGTCCTCGCATACAGCTCTGATAGTCCCTTACAAAAATTCTTTAAAAATGTCTACGCCTATAGTCCTGATAGCTCTTAACAAATATCATTTTAAAATGACAATCCTTTTAAATATTCGTTTTAAAGACAACGCCTATAGCCCTGATAGTCCTTAACAAATATTCTTTTAAAAGTCAACGTCTATAGCCCTGATAGTCATTTACAAATATTCATTTAAAAGTCTACATCTATAGCCTTAATATTAATAGAATTTTCTGTAAAACGTCCACGCCTATAGCCCTGGTGCTCCTTACAAATAGTCTTTAAAAAGTCATAGCTTATAGCCCTGATGGTTCTTTAAAAATACTCTTTAAAATGTTCATTAAAAGTCTCTTGCCATTTTAGTCCTTTAAAAATTTCACGCATCTTGCCTTGTTAGTCCTTTAAAAATCCACTCTTCTTTGCTGATATTCCTTAAAATATATTTTATTAAAACCTCCACGCCTCTTGTTTAGTAAGTCCTTTGAAAATACTGTTATAATCCACCCACAGTATTTTAAAAACCTACTGTCCCTCTACAAAAAAATTCTATTTGTTTGGTTTCATACTCACAATTCAGCATTCTCATGGGAGGTGGACATCATTTGGGGAAAATCAATCAAAATGGGTTTGCCATCATCGCCCAACATTAAATTGAATTCATTGAAATCACCATGAATAACACCAGAATTACCCAGGCGGACAATTAAATTCATCAAGTCATCATAGACTTGTTCGGGATCACGCAGCTCATGGATTTGGGTCCTAAACAAAGAAAATACACGATTTTTATTATGGCAAAAAGTTCCGAATAATATATGTATATCCTACTCACATTGGCCAGCCATTAACCAATTCCATGAGAACACAATGACGATTGAAATCGATGGGTTTGGGTACGGGAAAACCACGTTCATACAATGCCGTCATATAGGCATATTCACGGGTGGCTGAAATACGTGATAAATACAACCATGATGCCTTATGACGACGTCCATGATAATCACGTTTCGATTTAATATTACGGAAACAGGTACGACCCAAACGATGCAGCTTCAAACATATGGGTTTACCCTCTTCATCGGCCACAACGTAAATATTTGATTCCTTGCCAATACCAATTTGATTACCAAAAGAGGCAACAGAACCACGTAGCGTTAGGGATTTCAAAGCCAAATAATCGTAGCCGGTGTTGGTTAAACGATAGCCATCATCTAAGGGGAAGGGAAACAAAATTTCTAATATTTGTATTTGTTATGCGTAGTGGCATACTCACATTTCTTTCCCCGTTCATAGGACAACAATTTGTGTTTACACAACTCCTTGAGGATTTTGTGTACACCGCCGGCCTTTAAGTTGGCAATGGCTGCCGCCAATGGTCCAGGTACAAGTTCATGATTTTTCATACCCATTTCAATCTATAAACAAGAACAAATTAGTTGGGGCGGGTGGCATTTGAAAATTCCATTTCTTTGATACTACTTACAGCTGTCAAGACCCGAAAATCCTCCTTGGTTAGATAACGCAGCACGGTAACATTTAGTTTTCCCATGATTAGTGTTTAATTTATTTTTAATTTTCCTTCTTTTTTATTTTCAATATTTTTTTCCCAATTCCTGCAATGCTCCAACACGTGTTGTTTCGAACTAATTGTTTTGAACTATACCCGATTCACTGAAACGAGCCATAAAATTAGAAACCTTACGAACGGTGGAAGAGATAAAATCCAAAAACAAACATCATGTTTACGAATATGTGAGAAAGCAAACTAGATGAATTCGAAACATATTTACGAATGGGAGAAGAGGCAAAAGATAATAACACCTAATTACAATATTTAATAGTGTTGCCACATTATTGTTGTCACTTTGTTACTAGATATGTCAGTATAACCTCTCGGTCATTAGTATGGATGTATTTCAGTAATTTCAGAATGTTTGGACTTCTTCAAAATATAGAATGTAATATTGGAATAATGTTGATGCCCTTAACCCAACCAAATGCGACAGCTATCCAATATATATTAAGAGGTTTCACTAATAAGCTGAATTTGATATTTGCTTTACTGCCACCTGGTGACAAATAACATATTATAATGAAAAATATTATTGTGAATGAAATATATTCAAAATTTATAGAATATTGTCCGCAATAATAATAATTTATAATCTTTTTATTAATAATAATTAATAATATTAATAATCTTTTTACCCTTTACAACACTGCGGTACAGGGTATTATGCCTTTGTGTATATGTTTGTAACAGGCAAAAGGAAACGAGATGGACCCGTGGTTCCTTTTTAGAATATTTATAAAAACACTTTCTGAGTCGATTTATACATCTATCTGTCCATGTTCAATTGTAAACAAAGTGCAGGTCGCATTTATTATCCGAATGAGATGAAATTTGGCAAAGATAAGGTTGCACTTTCCTAACCACTCTAAGTTTCTAATGATGTTGTGGATTAAAGTAGGTTCTATAGTTCAAAAGAAGCTTAGAGACGGTGGAAAGTGAGAACCCACTAGTCTCTGCCATCTGTAGGCCAGAACTGGATAGCGACACAGGGATGCTCAATTGTCTCCGCCGTCAGCACAGAGTCTGCAGTAATCAGTAACATCATGCTCACAATTACTGGTAAAAGCCCTAATATTGCAATGACCAGTAATGACTCCTGTCATTACTCTAAATCGGCTTTGCTCAGGTTCAACAGTGAGTTTGTTCTCTTTGTTGACACAGTCGGCCAGATAGATCTTGACACATTCCACCTAGGTTCGTTGTGCCAGAGTTCATTGGCTCGTTCATCGAAGAACGCCTCAGATGGGTGGTTTGATTGAGCAATCGATTGCTAGATCTGTAGATTGAAATCCTCGTCTAGCTAAATGCTTTACATCTCCTCCCTCCTTCGATTGAAGACACTGTTTTTAAAATTTTAGGGGAAATCGGTTTGAACCTTTAGAGTTTTCCCTATATTGCTAGTTAAACGTTCTATTCTGAGGATCCTTCCATGTTCTTGAAGAGTAAAAGAGGATGTTTAATTTTTTTTTCTAATTACTAAAAATTTGACGGCAACGTCGTTACCATACATTTTTAGTATGTCAAATTTATTGCCAATATTTTTATTATTTATAAACTAAAGAACTGGAATATTGCACGCACATATAAATTGAATAAGATTTATATCCGAGATGTGTAACTCTTCAAACCAGTGATATTGATTTCAATGTCCACATTATTCCACGGAACTTTGTTTTTCATGAAAAATGAGTTTCGTTCATTTTGAAATCTGAAACCTTTTGAAAATTTATTTGTTTTGGAACCTGGATTACAGGATCATCTACGTCAGCGGTATTTTTTGGTATTAGGTATATAGCTAATTTTTGGATAACATTTATATCCTGACAATATTGCCTATTTGAACCTATATTTATATTAAACGAGATTCTCCATTCGAAATTTCAAATCTGCTGTCTTAATATTAACAGTATTATTGTTTTTGAAACTGTTCTCATTCTTATATCCTCCTTCATTAGTATCATGTCCTCTCCTTTGCAATTGGTATACAAAATTTGCGGATTTATATCATATTCACAGAAATTGAAATGTTTAAGGAACTTCTATATGCTGTGTTTTTTTCGCACAGACTCGCTCTTTTGGTGGCCTTTTGAAATCATGGATTTTTAATTCACTCCTAATCAAATTCCTATTTCTTTCTCTTTGAATTCTTATTCACTCCCTTCAATTGATTATAACTCCCACATGCGGTCTTGTGAGCATCCTTGCACAATTTTTTCGGACAATCCATATCATAGGCAGGATAACATGAACGTAAGCCATATTTAGGACGCTGCTTCTGATCTTTTTCCCTTTGACGATGGGCGGGCATTTTTGTTTCGAATGACTTACATTTACTGCGTATACCATAATCTATAGAATCGTTTTTATCTTTTGAACTACTATAGCGACGTGAAAAACTAAAACAATGGAAGTTTCTATTCAAAGTAGATGGACTTGGGGCTGTTGCATTTCTACTCAAAGTGGAATACGATTTTTTGTTTTGATCTCCTTTGCATTTTGGCTTAGTATCTCGTGGCGTTTTACCACAAGGATTTTGATTTTTCGAACATCCCGTATTACTTGTGGATTTCTTTGAACAGGGATTGGATTTGTTATCCTGTTTTTTACCACATGGATTTGATTTCTTATTGTCTTTTTTACAAGGACTGGTTGATTTTTTCTTCTTCTCGGCACAAGGACCAGTACAAGGTGTTGTATTTCGCTTGCCGCAGTTGGTACCTTTTTTCTTCTGTTTCTGTCTTGCACAGGGGAATGGATGGGTGTCCGTTTGTGGCCTTACCTTATTGTCACATGGATTGGGTGGTTTCTTGGCACATGAATCGGATTTGGCTTTGTCTTTGTTCCCACATGGTGGTTTAGATGTCGGTTTTTTGTCACAAGGGCTTGCTGGTTTCTTGGCACAAGGTGTCTCTTTTTGGGGTTTTTCTTTTTTACCACAAGGACTGGCTTTTGGCTTGTCCTTTTTGGCGCAGGGGCGTGGTTTTTTATTAGGGTCGTTTTCTTTTTTCGAACAAGGATCGCCTTTGTCTTTTTTGCCACAAGGACTGGGGTTCTTAGAAGAGGGATCCTTCTTGGAACAAGGATCCTTCTTGGCGCAGGGAGCCTTCTTGGAACAAGGATCCTTTTTGGAACATGGGTCCCTCGATTTTTCTTTCTTGCCACAAGGACTTGGTTTCTGTGAGCAAGGATTTCCTTTATTTTTATCCGGTTTATTAGCTGCGGGTTTACCTTTATCTCCACTTGTCTTGGGAGGTCCCTTATCTGGCTGCTTGTTCTTACCGTCTAATTTCTTTTCCGTTCCACATGGCCCCTTTTTGTTGGTATCTTGCTTCTTGGCACAGGGTGATTGAGGTTTGCTGCCACTGTCACCATCACAAGGATTTTTATTACATTTCGGTTGATATGGCACATCTTCATCCTTGCATGATCCAGGCTTCTTTGCTTTTCCTTTATCTTCGTGACAACTTCCCGGTTTAGGCGATTTATTTTTACCTTTTTCACTTAGGACAATGCAGCCATTACAAAGACCACTTCCTGTCTTTTTACTTGAAGTGGTAGATTTTACATCTACAGTTCCTAAATTTGAGGTTAAAGGGTTAAGGGATCCACTCTTCATTGTGTTTCCTCCTTTGTCGCTTGCTTTTTTATTTGGCCCCAGTTTGGAACAGGGATCTTCTTTTTTACATTTTGGTGATACACAACCACTTGGGGCTTGCTTTCGAGGATTTTTGCCATGGTTTCCTTTATTTGTTACAGGAGGAGTTCCAGTAGGGTCTTTTGTGCTGTTGCCTTTATCACTAAGCACTTTGGTGGGATTGTTGGTCTCAAGGGAGAATTTTTGATCAGGAATACCAAGTGTTTTAGTATCTTTAATGGAAGTGATTGATTTTAAAGCGGCCCTCCTCCGTTTAGCCTCCTCTATAGCTTTCTGATATGTATCATGACTTAGGGGGTATTTATGACCACCCAATAATTCCAGGACAAATGGAGAATTGTAATACACAATTTTGGCCTGAGGCACATCAGTGGACACTTGTCGTCTTGGGGGAGAGTTATTGTTGCCGGAATCTGTGGAATATTGGCGTAAAGGGGTTGCAAATCCAAATGCATTACCACTCCTCCCTCCTTCGATTGAAGGAGTTTCAAAAATGTCGCCATGTCCCAAATTTGCTAGTGGAAATCGGTGTAGACCTTTAGAGTTTTTCAGAGCCTGTGTATCTGTATTAAAATTCAAAGTAATTATATTGAATTTCCATTTTCCAATAGAGTCCAAGGATAGTCCTTGCAACTGGTAACACTGATAACCATTATCATGTTTTTTCTTATTCAGATTTTGAATTTTGTCACCGATTTGTTCAGAATTTCTTGCAAATGCTTCCAACAGCCTTTGGACAATGTCATTCTCCAAATGTCTTGGTTTAAAATAGAGAAGGGCATATGTTTTACGTAGCTTTGGAGTAGTACCTTCCAAAAAGAAAGATTGAATTTCCCAAATCATAATGGTATTGGCGGAATTTTGAAAAGCAAAACCACTATTATCTCGAAGTTCCATCAAGGATTTTGGTATCAAATCTTTGAGTGGAATATTGACTTCGACAATAGTCAGCATATTTGCTGCCCTCTCAGCTACTTCTTTGGTTGTATTTCGTATCGAACCTATAGATAAATCTTCCATAACAGCCAAATCCCGTGAATCTTTCTCCAGAGGCCATAATGTTGTATTGGACTTTTTATCCAGTGAATCTGTATTGAATTTACGAGATGCCAAATCTGATGGCCCCCAATTCTTATTAGTAAACAGCCGCTTACTCTGTAAAACCTGGACCAATGAAGTATATTGCACACGGCCGTGGTTGGAGGTTCCACATATTCCTTTTGTGAACTGAAAAATTGTAATTTTTTTAATTATTCTCCAAATGGTTTTGAATGTTCAACACTTACCTTGAGTAGTGGTCGAACACTGGTCAATATTCGCATTGTTTAGTATTTAATTTAAAAATTTCACGACAAAATTTTGAAAAAGAAGCCGAAAATATGGATTTCGAAGGGAAAATTGTGGAAAATGTTTTAAATTATTTTCACATTCATTTTTTTTTTTTTTTTTTGTGACAAAGAAGTTTCAGGTTGCTGAGATCAGAAAGAATACAGTACAGTGCGGTAAGCGTGACTCTGAAAAATATTTTCGGCACTATACATAAAGGAGTGGATTTTCAAGAATATTTTCCAAACCAATACTCACCTCTATATTCGTGGATTTTAAAAGAATATTTCAAACCCAATAATCAGCTAATGCGTGCATTTTTAAGGATTATTGTAAACCTAAAACAGCCATATAGGCGTGGGATTTTAAAGAATATTTCCAAGTCTATTTTTTTAAAAAATATTTATAACCTAATACTGAGCTATAAGGGCGTGAATTTTTAAAGAATATTTCTAACCTAATACTGAGCTATAAGGACGTGGATTTTTAAAGAATATTTCTAACCTAATACTGAGCTATAAGGGCGTGTATTTTTAAAGAATATCTAACCTAATATTGAGCTATAAGGGCGTGGATTTTTAAAGAATATTTCTTACCTAATACTGAGCTATATAGTCGTGGATATTTGAAGAATATTTCTGACCTAATACTGAGCTATATAGTCGTGGATTTTTAAAGAATATTTCTAACCCAATACTGAGCTATATAGGCGTGAATTTTTAAAGAATATTTTTAACCTAATACTGAGCTATAGAGGCGTGGATTTCCTTAAAATTGTGGATTTTTAAAGACCTTAGTCTTGGGAGAGTTGGTTGTAATGAGTATTTCCAAGTCTTCCTTCAGCCTTAAATTTCCAAGCTATAGAGGCGTGGATTTCCAAGTCTATCCTCAGCCTTAAAGCCTTAAATTCCAAACCTTAAAGGTTTGAAATTTTTAAGGAAAGTCTTCAGCCGAATATTCAACCTCAAAGGTGTGGATGTTTAAAAATGTTTCCAAGTCTATCCTCAGCCTTAAAGGCGTGGATTTTTAAAGAATATTTCCAAGTCTATCCTCAGACTAAAAAATATTTCCAAGTCTACCCTCAGCCTTAAAGGTTTGGATTTTTTAAGGAATGTCTTCAACTTAATATTCAATACTCTAATACTCATTAATTACTATTAATTCCAACCTACCCTTAACTCTAGGCGAGAATGTTTTAAAGAATATTTGAAAGTCCATACTTAGAATTTTAAGAATTTTCCCAAGGCTAGAAATTATTCTGGAGAATAATTTACTAACAAATTCCCAAATAGACAAATTGGCCATGTTCATATGTCCATAATACCCAACTAAATGATTATTAGTCACCCCCACAACCAGCACAAATATAAAGAATTTATTGCATTGCGTTAAATTGCTTGAGAAAACTAACTATATTCTGCGCAAAATAAAAAAAAAAAACATGAACTTTACAAACATGCACACTCACAAACAAACATACACCAATTGGAGGTGTAAACGGACGCATTATGAATATTAATTGCCCGCAAAAAAATCAAATGACAGACGACGACGATGAACAATTCATTGTTGGAATTCTTCTTCGGTAACGAATTCGTAGGCAAACCCAAGCAAAATGTTGGCGGTCAGTTTTATTTGACTATTTGGCGGATACAGTACGGCTTTGACTTTAATAATAATTGTGGGTCGCTTTTGTTCGTTCTTCATTCAATTATAATTATTTTGGGTTATTAAATTTGGTCTTCTAACAATTGAATGACCTTGAGAATAACAAACAAAAAATGTTAAGAATTTTTTTGTGTTGTGTGTGGTCAGTGGTAGTGCTAAATGAAGTAAGTGAGAAAGTTTTATTCAAAATAATAATACTGAAAAGAGCAACAGATGTTGCAAATCAAGCTACTAAATTTTAGAAAATCTTTTTTTTTTAATTGTGTCTAAAATCTTGAAGAATTTCCTTACATTTCCTTTTAAATTTGGATTAAAAAGAGGACCCCAACGTTTTCTTTTATTCATTGCTTCTTTGTGAGGATAAAACATTTGAGATAAGCCGATCTAATATGAAAAAATGATTCAGTGTTTTGTAAAAAGTAAATCTTTTAATAAACCTCACCCTAAATTAACAAACATTTGTATTCAGAAGTCACACACCTTTTCAATAGAAGATTAGATCTAAACTCATTTATTGAGTCTATAATTGAATATATGAATTGAACAATGGCGGTGATTTCATTACGATTTCAAGGATCAATTAAAGCTGAATTTAAATTTGGAAATATTCCTTAAAACCCAACGACTTTAAGGCTGTGAATAGACTTGGAAATATTCGTTAAAATTCCAAACCTATAAAATTGTGGATAGATCTGGAAATTTTCTTTTAAAATCCACGCCATTAAGACTGTGGATGGACTTGGAAATATTAATATTAATATGATGCTGAGGATTGCATCGGAAATATCCTTAAAAACCCACGCCTTTATGGCTGAAGTTGGAATTGGAAATGTTATTTAAAAATCCACGTCTTTAAGGCTGAAGATAGACTTGGAAATATTCTTTAAAAATTTACGTCTTTAAGGCCGATGGTACACTTGAAAAAATTATTTAAAACCCCGCCTTTAAGGCTGAGTTTGGACTCGGTAATAATCTTTAAAAATACATGCCTTTCAGGCTGAGGTTAGACTTAAAAATATTCTTTAAAAATCCACATCTATGGATATGAGAACATTCTCAAAAACCGCATCTATAGAATTCTAAATAACCCTAAAACAAAGACATAGAAAACGTAAAGACTCGACAAAATGCATTTTGACAAAATAGTTTATGAAAAAATATCCAGGGGGTATCAGGTATAACAGAGGCATGTTAAGAATAAAAACGCTAATACGCGAAAATGTGTGTATAAAATGTAAATAAAATTAGAGATCCGCAGATAAAACATATATTTTTATTTTATAAGCTTGCTATATAGCGATTAAAACGTTTAATATTGTTCGTTCTGTTGTTATGATATCGTAACAACAGAGGAAAAGCCATCTATTGGAAATTATTGACGTATCGATTTTCCTATCTTTATACTTTTATGTCTTTGCCTAAAATTTTTCTTTGTATTCAGTAATGGCTTGCAAATAATTCTTAAAAAATAATAAATAATTATTTTATTTTTCTTAGCTACTAACACCTCTGCACATTTCCGCTCTGCCAGCCACCACCAACGACCCTGGAACATCGCACATTGTTAGCTATGTACATCAACGGAAATCGGCGAAATTCCAAAAACCAGGAGAACATAATGAATTCTCAAACTTCGATTTTGAAAATTTCAATTCAAATTTGACTGCCGAAAATCCGGAAATGCGTGGAGCTCTACAACAACTCTTTGGTAGATTTGTACAAAATTTAGAAACAAATTTAGACAATTTGGGCAAACCAACAGAGAAGGAGATGGGAGTGGTGGCCAAAAATGTCGCACTTCAAGATGGAAATTCCGAAAATAAGGAAATATTTAAAAACACCGAAACCGATGATCTCTTCGAGTTGCAAGCAAATACCTTAGATGCTGTCATGCCAAACAATGAACAACATGAGTCTCAAATAAATGAGACTATGTGGCAACGTTCTAAACAAAGTATCCCAGTGCTGGAGTCGGTACGTCATTTGGTAAATAGTGTACGAGATGGAGCCCTTAACGATACGGAACATGTTAAACCCGAACGTCATCATTTGCTCTCAATGCACGGCCAAATGGCAGAAAATGAAACCTCACCGGCCATAGAAACCGAAGAAGAACGTGAAATGATTAACGAAAGTACCGATTTGAAATTCTTAGAAGTTATTGGTTCGATTGGTAGCCGTGTATGGGGTTTCTTTAAGAATATAAAACAAGTTTTTGCCGCCAGTAGTGGCAGTGCCAGTGCTGCTTTATCGGCTCAAAGTTCTTCGAGTAGTTCTTAGAATTTGTAGAAGAAAACCAATTACGATTTGGATATTTTTTTTTTTTTTGTTAAAATTGTTAATAATTTTATTGTAGCGTTCCCCAAACTGTGATTAACCTTTTTGAAAAGAAATTAAATAAAATATAAAATTTTTAATCGAAAAATGTGTTGTTTTTATTATTTGTCTAGAGGACTACGAAATCACATAGCGATGGAAAAGACTTAAGCGACAAACTTGAACTACTAGCACCATCTGGATTATAAATTGATAATCTCTGTGATTGTTGAACTAGATAGAATCAAATACATTTTGCTTCATGTGGCATCTCTGAACTCAACTTCCTTAAAATAGGTTGCACTAAGTCATTTGTAGATTTGACAACACGGAATATTGGGAATATTCGTTAAAAGTTTACGACTTTAACAGCCTGTTTTTGTAATTTGTTCCGCCAGTCACACGTATCGTTCGTATTAAAACGTATACGTCGAAAATTTGGTTTTTGTAATAATTGTAAAAGCTTTCGTCTAGAAACGATTGAGCTTTTTCATTCGTTTTTAACCATTAGTGCCAAGTGTTTCTTTTGGTATCTTGTTGCAAATTTTCCAATAGAATTATTGCAAAATGAGGGTAACTCTGTTTATTGTTTACAAACAGTTTTTTTACATAAAAAGTGTCAAAATAGAAAATTCAAAATGTTTGGTACGATTGCAATTAATTTTAATTATAAAGAAAAGCAAAATATTCCCCAAAGGAGAATACCTATGGCATTTAATGATACATCTACATTATTCCACTTGTTATCCACTTCAAATTTATTGGATCCGAAAACAGGACGGCCAGTTGCTAATTGTGGGTAAAGTTCCATGAGATCAACCAATTTTTGGAATTGGGCAATCGTTGTCCTTTTGTTGCTAGGGGTTCAAACAATTCAATATAATTTTTTACATTTCATAGGGATATATAATTTTTTACAAACCATTTCTTCTTATATATTTCATCAGAATTTTCCATATTTGTTACGTTCTTTTCACTAACAACATACAAATTGTAATGAACAAATAGTTTTCTTTATTATTATTTTTTAAACGAATGGTATTTTCTTTTCGTTTGTTTTTGACATTTTTGTTCGTAAATAACGCACCGTTTTGTATAACAAAAACCAAAAAAATACGAATACCAAAAGCTCTTTCCTATTTCTCACTCACTACAACCGGTAATTTGTTTGCGAAAACCAAAATGAGTAATCGTTCGTTTTTTCGACGAACGAATGGACATTTTACATTTACAAAAACAGGCTGTAACGCTGAGAATCGACTTGGAAAAAATCTGAGAGGGCGGAGAATCGACATGGAAATATTCTTTAAAAATCCACTCCTTTAAGGCTAAGAATTGGCAATGAAATATAGTTTTAAAATCCACGCCTTTAAAGCTGAGTATCGATTTGGAAATATTTTTTTTTTTTAAATCCACGCCTTTAAAGCTGAGAATCGATTTGGAAATATTTTTTAAAAAATCCACGCCTTTAAAGCTGAGAATCGATTTGGAAATATTTTTTTAAAAATGCACGCCTTTAAAGCTGAGAATCGATTTAGAAATATTTTTTTAAAAATCCACGCCTTTAAAGCTGAGAATCGATTTGGAAATATTTTTTTAAAAATCCACGCCTTTAAAGCTGAGAATCGATTTGGAAATATTTTTTTTTTAAATCCACGCCTTTAAAGCTAAGAATTGGCAATGAAATTTAGTATAAAAATCCACGCCTTTAAGGCTAAGAATTGGCAATGAAATATTTTTTTTAAAAATCCACGCCTTTAAGGCTAAGAATTGGCAATGAAATATTTTTTTAAAAATCCACGCCTTTAAGTCTAAGAATTGGCAATGAAATATTGTTTAAAAATCCACGCCTTTAAGGCTGAGAATCGACCTGGAGATATCCTTAAAAATCCACACATTTAAGGCTGAGAATCGATATGGAAATATTCTTTAAAAATCCAAGTATTTAATCCCAAGAATTAGGCTGGAAGTTTTCTTAAAAAATCCACGTAATTAAGGCCGAGTATTAGGTTGGAAGTGTTCTTTATCCTCACCTTTAGGGTCGATTATTAGGTTGGAATTTTTCTTAAAAATCCACGCCTTAAAGGTCGAGTATTAGATTGGACGTGTTATTTATCCTCACCTTTAAGGCCGATTATTAGGTTGGAAGTTTTCTTTAAAATCCATGCCTTTAAGGCTAAGAATCGACATGGAAATATTCTTTAAAAATACAAGCCTTTAAAGCTTAAGATAGACTTGGAAATATTCTTATAAAACTCCAAGCTAAAGAGCTGAGAATATAAGTACGAATATTCTTTAAAAAATATTCCCACCTAAAGAGTTAGGCATATACTTAAAAATATGTTTTATTAATCCTAGCCTAAAAAGCTGAGGATAGACTTGGAAATATTCTTTAAAAGTCCGAGGCTTCAAAGAAGATGAATTTACAATACGTTATTTACGTATTCACTAATTGTGTTTATCTGCTCCTCGAATCAACAGCCAACATCTGTTCGTAGAGTTGCCACATCACCAATAAATAACCCCTCAAATGATGTATTGGCAAAAATAACAACAAACGAAATGTCAAAGTTGTTAAGAAATTGGTGGGCATCTTTTCCTGTTTGGAGGACATCAACAAGAAAATTGAAGGTAAAGGACACACGAATTTCACTTCAATTAAAAATAATTAAAGAAAATTATAAAATAAACACGAATAGACAACAATGTCTGTCGATATGAGTTCATCGGGGTCAACAAGTCCAACATCGAAAAGTGGACAGGCTTTGCAAAAACTAAAGGAATTTGGCTATGCTTTCAATTCGGGTAAGTCGATGACGACGTACAAGGATAATTGACTTAATTGGATTTTTTACCACCCACTTTTTAGCCGGACAATTACGTAAAATTGATAAAACCACTGGAGAAGTGACTGACGAACCGTTTGAATTTGATGTCTACAAGGATCATGCCAAGAATCAGGCCCACTATGAAAAATTGGCTGATGTAAATATGATGATGATGATGTGTCTCATTTGTTTTTGCAAAATTGTTGCTTTAATTTAATTTCTTTGTTTTTTTTTCGAATTTCTAGCAAATACCCGAAATTGTCTATGACTTGTTGGAACAAAACGGTTTGACACGAACATACATTCCTGAACAGGTGCCAGCCGATGAGGCGACATTTTTCTTCACCAAGCCAGAACAATTGGATAAACCGAAAAAATTGATTGTTATTATACATGGCAGTGGTTATGTTCGCGCCGGTCAATGGGCCAGAAGGTGAGAATGCAACATGTGTGGGTGTTTGTTTTCGCATTTTATTTGAATTTGGTAGTACATAGTTGTTGTTGTAGTATACAATTGTTGGAATCAATTATTGCTACAGTGGAATTTGACCAATTTTTGTGTCAACAATTATCGCTAACACACTCACCCATTTTCACCGTGTATGTTCGTGCATATCTTTGTTATGACCCAACATTTTATATTCGATATGCTGAATCGAAGGCCAGAAGGTCTCCTAATAGATGACCTAAAGGAGGATCTTATGGAAGAGTAAAAGTAGGTCTTCTCACAGACCAGAAGTTATTCTCTTCTATAGAAGACAATAAGTTCTTCTAGTGGAAGACCGAGCAAACACGAAGGTCAACTTAGAGAATACCAGAAGGTTTTCTAGTAGAAGACCAAAAGGACTTATCATAGAAGACCAAAAGTTTTTCTCATAGAAGACCAGAAGGTCTTCTAATAGAAGACACATAATACCAGAAAGTCTTCTATTATAAGCCCAAATTGTCTTCACTTAGTAGACCAAGAGAAGACTAAAAGGTCTCATAAAAAACCATAAGGTCTCTATGGGTATGCCTATGGGTCTTCTATGAGAATAACTATTGAGAAGTTTTTATGATATAAAACCCAAAGGTCTTCTCATAGAGGATCAAATATCTTCTTATGCCTTACCAAAAATAATTCTCATAGAATACCGACAGGTTTTCTTCTTATGGCTGACCAAGAAGTCTTTTCATAGAAGACCAAAAGGTCTGTTCAAAGAAGACCAAAAGATCTTTCATAGAATACCAAAAAATTTTCTCATAGAATACCAAAAAGTCTTCTCATAGATGACCAAAAGATATTTTCATAGATGACCAACATTTTACTCATAGAAAACCAAAGATCTTCTCACAAGGTCTTCTCATAGAAGGGGAGGCTGTGTTATCATCTAAGGCAACAGGATCTTTCTACAGTAGGCCAAAAGTTGTCTAGTTCATCTAATAGAAATTCAGAATTTTTTTGCAGGGAAGATCATAGCGTTTTCTTATGAAAAACAATAGATTTTTTTCATTAAGAAGATTCCGTTTAGAAGGCTAGAAGAACTTTTTCTAATAAAAGACTAAAGTGGTTCTAATAAAACTCCTAATAGGTTCTCTACAAACTATTTTTGGAAAATTTGTCAGGATCTGTAGTGTAGCACGCCTTTCTTATTCCCTACATACTAATACGTCATTGGTCTTCTTTCAAAAAGTCTTATAATTAACAATTCCCTGGATCATGGAACCCAAATACCCTATATAAGACGGGCTGAAGAATTAGGTTATGATATTTTGGTGACCAATACAAATGATAATTATCGCATTGTTGATGGCAAACGTAAACCCATACAGGGTTTGAGTTCGGCAACCTCACATGCTGCGCATGTGTGGGAAAAATATGTTATGGCATGCGAACCGGAGGCAGTGGCCATTGTGGCTCATAGTGCTGGTGGTGGAGTTACCTTGGATTTGGTAAGAAGCAATTTAAATATTTTACATATCATATTAATAAAAAGCTTTTTATACCCAGGCTCGTCGTTATCCTGAATTTTTCCAAAATAAAGTTTTCGCCATTGCTCTAACGGATTCCGCCCACTTTGGTATAAGTGGTGATATACGCAAGATAATTGCCGGCAAAACATGTAACTGGGTATCGAGCAGTGAACCATTGGATACGGAAATTAAAACATCCAAAGATGATATTAAAATGGTTTCAGCAGGTATGTTTTTCAAAAGGCCACATAATGCCAGCTCGATTATATTCACTGAATTAATCCTTGCTTACAGGTCACACTAAACACGAATGGACTTCGTATTCCGCATTTGAATCGGTTTTCAATTTCCTAGAAGATAAATATGCGGAATTTAGTGGTGAACAAAAAAGCAAGAAACAAAAATTGGAGGAATAAACAGGATAACAATTTGGGAAAAAAGCGAGATTTTACTAATGGATTTTAACAAATACTTTAAAATGTTGAATACAAATAATATCTACAAAATGAATGTTTGTATGTTTATGCTCGTTTACAAAACAAAACACACAAAACCAAAAAAGACAACACAATTGTAAATTACTTTAACTGCCGTTGAACAATTTTGAAATGCTTAATTTACAATTTTAAATTACAAAAATTAAGGTCAGCTTCTAGACCTTACATTATACAATTTATATTTCATATTGGCAACGAAAATATTTACTTTTACAAAAATTATGTGAAAACAAAAAATCTCAATTACATACTTTTGATATTATCATAATCATATTTTACACAATTAAGTTTAATTTGCTTTCAATAAAATTCTAAATAAGAAACAAGAGCAGTCTATATACATGTTTAAATGGAACAATAACAGAAATGTATACACAAAAAAATAAAAATCAAATATAAATGTTAAAAAAAATTAGTATAGAACATTAAATTTTGAAAAAAAAAGAAACACAAATGCTGAAATAAAATATATATATTTTAAATATGTTCTAAGATTTCACATGCAAATGTATATGTAGTTTTTAATGTATAAGGGTTCCAGAGATATTGAATGGACCTTTCAAGGTATTTGAAAGATACGATATTGTTTGTAAATGCCTTGTTAACTTCGAAATGAGGAACCTGCGAAATTCTTATGCAGTTTATTTCGTTGGTCAGCTATGTACTTCGCTTTGTTACAAGAAACATTTGGGTATGAAAGATTTTTTGTAAAGAAGCAACAAATAGCTTCAGGGAGGAATATCCCAACAAAAAAACGAAAGGAACTGATGAGGATCATTGGCGAGATCAGAAACTATAGTCTTCCCTGTCTTACCCTTAGTTTTTTTATAAAAACAACAAACTGGGATCCAGCCTGACTATATTGCAAAAATATAATCCACGCTTCTTAAAAAAATATTTTTAAAAATCCACGCCTAGATATTGATGTTCCCTTGATGATTCCTACCCGAGGTAACACATGTGTGTTTATCAAAATACCATTATACTTGCCAAAACCATAAATTATATACTTACCCCATAGCATATGTTTCTTAACTGATTTTTTATGGGTTATGAGCTGCGCTCATAAAAGTTAGTTTCCTTTCCTCGATAGTTATATCGTATAGTTGATTTTATGACTCCTTAATGACATCATATCATCAACAGCAAACTTCCTAAAAGTAAGGCGAATATTGTGGAGATAACATCAATATTCCCCCAGGAACAAACGAAACCAGAAGAACACTTGTCTTAATGGGATGTTCAGTTTCAGTTTTTTCTCCCGAAGATGTTGTCATGCAGAATAACAACAACAAAAAAAAAAAAAAAAAAACAACTACTATTGATATATGTTGTTGTACATTATTTTTTATGACATGTTAGCCAAAATGATAAGACAATAGAAGAGGGGTGTGGATAAAAAAAATTATTCTCAAACATCATATAATAAAGAGGGTGTCACAAGTCGCAAAAAACGAAACGTAACAAAATATTGACCATCACACTTAAGTGGTCGTAAACACCCCCCTTATGCCAACAACCAAAAAAAAAAAAAAAACATTAGTTATGACAAGATTTTTTTTGGAATATGGACATCACACATTGTGGTTGCGTGTGGTAATAGTCCAGGCGGTTGTGGCCACTAGGATGTGTGTGTTTTTTAGTTGGTCGTTCGGTGGTGAGAACAAAAATCAAATTAAATGTATTGATGTAAATGATAGTGACATATCACTGATTGCATTGACGTCTCAAATATCTGTGAAATATATTCGACAATGTGTCAAACTCTTATCTGGCTTATGAAAGACATCACGATTTATCCTTTGGGGACTGGAGATAAATGTCAAGTGTTTTTGATGGAAATAAATTGCAGGCAATTTTTTCCACACTTAACAATATATATAACAATATGTTTGTTAAAAATAGAGGATACGCGAGAATGTGCGAAGAAGTGCAAGTCGAAAGATATATAGGGACTTTGGTACACCAATTACCTTAAATCGGACGAAAATATATATGGGAGCTATATCTAAAACGGAATCAATTTTCCCGAAATTTGTTACTCATCATTCTAGACTCAATTCATTACGCTATGCCGAATTTCGTGCAAATCCAAAGATACAAGGGACTACGGTCCACTATTTACCTAAAATCGGACGAAAGTATATATGGGAGCTATATCTAAATCTGAACTGATTTTCACGAAATTTAACACACGTCGTTCTAGACTAAATTCAGTACACTATGCCGAATTTCGTGTAAATCATATGATATAAAGGACCATTTCTTCACAATTTACATTAAATCGGACGAAAATATATATGGGAGTTATATATAAATTTGAACCGATTTTTACGAAACTTTACACACATCATTCTAGACCTAATTCATTACGTTGTGCCAAATTTCGTGCAAATCGAAAGACATATAGGGACTTTGGTGAACTATTTACCCTAAGTCGGACGAAAATGTATATGGGAGCTATATCCAAATATGAACCGATTTTCGGGAAACTTGACACATATCATTCTAGACCTAATTTATTACGCTGTGCCAAATTTCGTGCAAATCGAGAGATATATAGGAACTTTGGTACACCATTTACCTTAAATCGGACGAAAATATATATGGGAGCTATATCTAAATCTGAATCGATTTTCACGAAATTTAACACACATCATTCTAAACTCCATTCAGTACCTTATGTCAAATTTCGTTCAAATCGTAGGATATATAGGGACTTTGTTGCATCATTTACATAAAATCGGACGAAAATATATTTATGAGCTATATCTAAATCTGAACCGATTTTCACGAAATTTAACACACGTCGTTCTAGACTAAATTCAGTACACTATGCCGAATTTCGTGTAAATCGAATGATATAAAGGACCATTTCTTCACAATTTACATTAAATCGGACGAAAATATATATGGGAGTTATATTTAAATCTGAACCGATTTTTACGAAACTTTACACACATCATTCTAGACCTAATTCATTACGTTGTGCCAAATTTCGTGCAAATCGAAAGACATAAAGGGACTTTGGTGCTCTATTTACCTTAAGTCGGACGAAAATATATATGGGAGCTATATCCAAATCTGAACCGATTTTCGGGAAACTTGACACACATCATTCTAGACCTAATTTATTACGATGTGCCAAATTTCGTGCAAATCGAGAGATATATAGGAACTTTTGTACAACATTTACCCTTAAATCGGACGAAAATATATATGGGAGCTTTATCCAAATCTGAACCGATTTTTCCAAATTTCAATAGGGTTCGTCCTTGGGCCAAATAAATGATCTGATGCGACCTGTACTTTGTTTACAATTTAACAGGGATAGACAGACGGACGCACGGACATGGATAAATCGACTCAGAAAGTGATTCTATGCATATTCTCAAAAGGAACCATGTATTTCGTTTCCTTTTGCCTGTTACAAACATATGCACAAAGACATAATACTCTGTACCACAGTGTGGTGAAGGGTATACAAATGTTCCACATCTTTTGTGAATATCTCCTACTGTCAAGTGCAATGACATTTGAAATCTCAAAAAAATCTGAGCATGACTACATCAAATTCTTGACAGTTCTTCACTTATATTTTACCTTGGGGACCTGAAAGCAAAACATAGCAACCCAAGAAATGTGAAATGGACGTGACAACATTTAAAGGTATAATGCGTGTGATGGGTTTTTCGTGTAACGAAAATGTGTGTCTTTGAAGGTAGGTGTTTTGAGACTATTTAATTGGGACTATGACCAAACGTGGGTCGTTATAACCCATATGCAATACCAATCATATTAGGAGTAATAACAATGTATGTGCCAAGTTTTAAAGCTCTGCCATAAATATTGCGATCTCTAACGCGATTTCCTAAAATTTCCCTTCTTATAGCTCTTTTCAACCATGAAAATTAAATCTAGGATTATTGTTTTATTTACGGTTGATAGTTTTTTAAATATAGCTTTATGCTTTTTGACCTTTTAATCTTCAATAATATTTTTAAAAATTCAATTTCTATATACCTCGATTCCCTCTGAATCACCTATACTACATTAAAAGCTGAGTATAAAACTTCTCTACAACATATCTTACATGTAAATACATAATTGTATATAATAGCTATTGTTTGTATACAATTTTTTATATATACTCACTCAAATACATATGTATATGTATGTAGTATATAAACCATATGAAGCGCATGACCCACTGTTGAACTCTCCAAACATAAATTTTCGCACAGTAAAACAACAACAAAAAACAAACACCCTTAACAACTACAAGGATATCATCAATTCACACGCACACATATTTACACTTCACAAATACACACACACACGCACCAAAACATGACACCTCCCCTTTCTGCACTTAAAACAATGGGGGGCTTTCATGATACCTACCCATCTACCTACCTGTTTCCCCTAATGGGAGTTGAACCACAACGATAAGGCAATGGTATTGGTTAACACAAAGTAAGAAGGTGGAAATGAAAAGAAAGGAAAAAACTTTCAAGATATTTCACAAATATCCTTCACAAAGGCAAAAGGTACACTCTGAGAGATAGATAACACAATATAAGTTAGGTGGAGCAAAAGCCATGACTGTTGGCCAAGTATTCGACACCACATAAAGTCTCAGGTATGTAACTTAAATGATCTAGACAAAAAGGAAAGCAACGAAAAACATTCCGATTTCACATCTTCGTTGGGAGGTTCGGGTATGTGTATCCATTGATATACACACAGAAATTTGCAAAGATGTATTTTGGAAATTTTTGTAAATGTGCGAAAGTTTGTTGGGAATTTCTTTGCCAAGTTTCCTTTTTAAATGATAAGATGGAATTGATATTTTGTTGCTTTTCAACAAAAGTATAATTTTCCTTTTCTAAAGTAAACTTTGAAAACACGTGTGGCAT